GTAAATCATCGATTTTTTTTATTATTATTCGAAATTGCAAAGAACAAGTTTTGAAATTGAACTTTGTTTTGCTTCAATTTTTGGAGCCCAATTTTTCACTATGATAAAAACATGGTTTATTATATACATACTGAGATTTTGTCACATATATTTCTATTTGAAAATCCGTTTCAAAATATTAACTAGCCAATCATAGGAGCGAAACGAATTTCTCACACGTGCGAAAAGCGTTTCGTCCAATCAGGAAAGACTTGTGAAAACGTACCACGGAATTCAATCAAAAACTTCAAGCTTCTTATGACTAGAGACAAAGCATTTTAGAAAGTGAATTGACAACTAATATTGTCAGGAGAAAAACAAAAATTCAACAGCTAAAACGGCGAGTGATGAAAAGCTAACTCGATGAATTTCCGCCGAATTGGAGCAGGGGCGTAGCCACCGGTCCGGTTACAACCGAACCAACTTTTGAAGATAAAAAAATGATCGAATATACGTCTCACGGGATTTCCACGTCATGACTTTGGTTCGGTGCGTCGGAAATAAAGTGCCGGCTTTCGATTCGATAAAAATAGATCTTCGCAAATTTGGAGCAGCTTCTATGTAAAGCATGCCAAGGATGGTATAGTGCTTCAAAGAAGAGCTTGACAGCGTTTGTACTTTTTACTACGATGATTTGACAAGAAAGCATTAAAAATCAATTGGTTACCTTCAAACAATTGTATTTCTCTACTCATGGCAAAGAAAAGCCAAACACACGGAAAACGTTAACACTGCACTTCTTAGTCTATCCTCATCTCCAAGAGGTATTATAGTTTAAATTCGCAAGTTATGTCGCCTAGTGAATATTCTGTCATGAACGAATGCAACATCAGATCGATCGCTTAGTGCACTGAGGCGTATCATGAAGTCATATTTCAGAAGTACCATGGCACTGCATTACCACCGAGGTGTAAAATATAATCTAGATTTAAAATCTGCAAATGAATACATTCTAAAGAACTAGACAAGAAAACGTACCTTCGCAACATTCAAACTCTGAGGTTTATATAGAAACAATACGCGATTTGCTTTTTGCCGTTTCTTTTAATACAACCAACAAATTGCTTGTCAACAGTTCAGTCCTTTGTGAGATCATAGTAGTATCAATTGTATTATACGAGAATATGATGGATCAACACTTCATGTAAATATAAATACGCACACCTGTTTTCCAGAAACCGAACCAGCAGAAWATTGGTGACTACGGCCCTGTGGAGGACTTTGAACGACTTCTCATACTCATTAATTATTCGGGAGGGGAAAAAAGCGAATGGAATACATATTACAGAGATATATTGATTTATTACATCTCCACTAAAGTTTTCAGTTTTCATAATTTTGAATACATGAAGCACCGCGTTTGTTGTTCTTCAATTCCCGGACGGCTTTCTGAAACAAAAGCTATTCAAATTGTCTTTGTCTGCTATTCATGGCATTCCTAATGAGTCTAATTCATACGATTTATATGTATGTTATCTTCCGAGAAATCGCATCAGAAACTCGGTAGTGTAATGGTATAAGACGGCGCATATAGACTGGACGGTAGGGGATCGAGTCGTGAGAGAGTCATGTATCAAAGACCTTTTTTCACTAAATTCTAATAATTTGATTATCATTAGCTAGTAGTAGTTGGAAACATGGTAGAGTAACTGGAAATAAGGTAGAAATACTACGCTTTGCAGTTAAGTTTGGCACCACGGAAGTTTTGTTACGTAGTTTTGACGTCTATAGTACGATGTTACTAGGGGCAACGTGTCAAGAATTGACATGTGATCTGCTCAAAGGCGCGAAAATCACAAGCGACCCGACGTAGTGATAGTAAACATGTACATGATAAACACAAAAGGAAGAACGTTTATTAAAGGTCAAGCACTGAGTTATRATTTCAGAAGATCAATTATTGATGAAATAGTCCAACTTGGAGGCGATGTTGTGAGTGGTTATTTTCCTGGACATTTTTCTGACGTTGCGAATACATTCAAAGTAAGTCGTGAAACTGTCAAGAATATTTGGAACCGTTTGYGCAATGATGGTACAATTGATCCAAAGAAAAAAATGGGAGCAGGAAATCCTTCAAGTTTGACTCAAGGAGATTTGCAGCTTATCGAAGTTTTAAAGAACGAGAGGCCTACCTGCTCTCTGAAAGAAATCCATGAAAAGCTCGAGGAGTTTGGTAACATTCCTAACGGAACGTCTTACTCGGCAATTTCCCGCGCACTGAAAGGGCGAATGTTATCTGGTAAACAGTATTCCCGCAAAAAAGTCTCTCCTATAGCACAAGAAAGGTTTACTGTTGAAAACATGGCATATACTCAACTGTTTATTGACTACCTTTACAGTAAAGACCCATTCAAGCTGAAATTCTTTGATGAATGCGGGCTGAAAACACCMTCACACGGGAAACGTCTGTATGGACACTCTCCCGTTGGTGAGAGATGTGTAGAATTTATGCGCTATCACCAATCACCAAACATTACTGTAAATGTTTTGGCTGGATTAAATGGTATAGAATACATGAATACCATCCATGGCCCATCCGATACATTGATCTTTCTAGATTTTTTTAGTCAAGCTGGCAAAGCAGCCAACATCGAAACCGGTAGACCAGCCCTGGAAGTCGGTGATATAATTGTGATGGATAAYTGCCCATTTCACCATAACGCTGGTGGTACTATKTTACGAGAATGGCTGGGCGATCGCAATATTGAACTTGTTTATACACCAACTTATTCCCCAGACTTTAATCCTGTGGAATTTGTATTCAATAAAATGAGAACTGTCATGAATTATGATTTACAGGATGTAGTGGCCTATGACATTGAAGTTGCTGCGATAGAGGCGTGTAAACATGTTAAGTCTGAAGACATGTACGGCTTTTACGCTTGTACAAATTATTTAGATATATAGGAATTTAGCTAGGGGTTTCTTAGTATAAAAATCCGTGAGATACACCACTCTTAAAAACAACGCACATTACTAGTAATTTATGTAAACACATTGTCGCGACAACCGCGTACCGTACTTTAGGAATGTATCGTGTTTACTACTTTCAAAGTATCGAAATATTAAAATTGTTTATATTTGTGTCGATTATATATAATGATTTGTAATCAAGGACCTCATAGCGCATTTTCTATTTCATTTGTAATTTTAATTAAAAGGTGAGATACTCGAACACACCGGCAGTATTTTGCAGGATTGAGTCGCGCAGTTAATTAGTATGCAACTGTACACTGAAATGTATTTTATTTTTGTAATTCCAACATATACARCATTAAAGAAAATACATCTACTTTTAACCCAACATGATTCTTCCAATGTGAATGAACTGTAAACGTATCCAATGACCAATTGAAAATTGAAATGACAATTAAACAGTGTCAAAACAATCCGGCTGAAACGATCAAGTGTTTTTAAAATGCATAATTATTGAATCATTTCATTATTAAATGCATACTTATATTGACAACTAGTCCTTATTTAACTCATTTTGGAGAGAAACAGCAAGTTTGAAGTCAAGTTCACCTGTCTGTGCTTGAAAGGACTCAGAGTTGGAAGCGGTGCTCATTGCTGAAGTGCTACTTGTGGAGCTTCGTTCAGGGAAAYGAATTGCATATTCATCTTCTAGAATTCTCTTCTTAGGATTAACACACGTGTCAGCCTTTTTCTCAGGCCTCTTTTTTAATTCGAGTTCACGAACTGCATCTTTTAACAGCTGGCTTACGCAATTTCTAGGTGGCAGATTTCCTTTACACTTTTTCTGTAAAAGAGCGACATGTTGATTCAGGAGTGCCCAGTTTTTAACTCCGTTTACTACATATAAATCAGGGTCTGTGGATACGATATCCTCCTCTATCTTYCTTGCAAACGAATCTTCGACTGTCTTATACGATCTAGATTTTTGCTGGTAGTCAGTTTCAAGTAAAGAAAGTTTTGATTTCATTTTCTCGACTGCCTGGGAAAGACTGCGACGGGTTGCCTTATCCTCGGGGTGTTTATCAATTAAACCACATAGCATAACCGATGTGCACGATTCCCCATCGCAAATTCGTCTATTGTGTCCGGTTTTCAGATGGCATTGTCCACAAATAGTTAGACGACCAGAATTAAGAGCTTGTGCATGAGCGAGCTGTCGTTCAAACGCGTCTTTACTTGCTTTGGCGTTGTTTAGTTCTGTTTTCACGTTAGCGATACTCTCGCGTTTCCGTTGCAGCATTCTTTCCACAGGACTATCATTATGAATTTCGTTTCCTCCAGAAGTTCCAATAGCTGTTGGTCTTTGTGTAGGTGTGAATAATTCCCTTTTTGAAGCACTACTAGTAATTCGATTGTTAGCCGACATGGCACTTGTAGATTCATGGCGACGTCTCTCAATAATTTCTGGTGTGGATTGTGGTTGCCATTCAATTTTGACAGTTAATCTTCTAAACGTTGCTCCTTGCACGATACTRGCACAACGTAAAACTTCATGAAGTGAATCTCCAGCACGCAGGTTTACAAATGTCTGCTCGTCATCTYTGTACTTTATTCTGAGCTCTGTATCAGGAATGAATTGTAAACAGTCAACTTTAGCTCTTACGGCTTTCATAAGATCTTCGAATGATGTAAGTTGTGTTTCCTCCATGGATATCATTTCACACCGGTCCTCAGAGAAAGATATGTTATAAAAAACTTTAAGTTGAATCATTTTGTTCGCTGATACCTCCGGCACAAGATGTCGGGTCGCTTGTGATGTGATTTTCGCGCCTTTGAGCAGATCACATGTCAATTCTTGACACGTTGCCCCTGGTAACATCGTACTATAGACGTCAAAACTACGTAACAAAACTTCCGTAGTGCCAAACTTAACTGCAAAGCGTAGTA